TAGAGAGATTAAGATCAGAGATTCACTGAGATATAAGAAAAATATCTTATCTGAATTCCACAGCTTTATCTGTATTCTTGAACAGAAATTCTGCCTTAATCTGAGTCAGTATAATACTTATGAGATATGAGTAATATACACTGTCAATCTTCTTGAAGACATCTCTGCAACTACTTAAGTCATTAAGAAGAGAGAGCTTGAGTGTATTAATACTGTTATAACTTGAGAAGAATTCAAGAACTTTCTACTGAATTAAATTAAAGATCACTGTAACTGTGACTTCACAGCAGTGCAGCAGTTCAACTTATTATATCAATGAAATGATGAGAATTCTTTCAATTTCAATATAAGATTTGAAGAATATTGAGAGAAACTGACTGATGATTTGAATCAATTAAAAACACAGCTTTATCTTATGAAGCTGACTTATAAGATGTGAATAATAATATTATAATATCAGAGTTCATTAATTAATTACACTGAGCTTGTCAATCTGACTTTCTGAATCTATTTAAATAATCAATTCTTCAAGAAAAAGATCAATAAGATCTCTTCTAAGTAATCAATAATGAGATCTAAACAGTGTTATAATGACTTCAGTGTAGAGAAAGTAAAGAAGAATTTCAAGTATTCTGATTCTTCACTCACTATAAAGAAATGTTAAAAAAGATTTAATAAAGATCTCTGTTTTAACTGTGAAGCTGATGATTACTATATCAGTAATTGTAAGAAGCTGAAGAAGAGAAGAAACTGAGAAGATATCTTCTCAAAGTTAACTTCTCTTCTGATAAACATATTCACAGAAGATAAAGAAGAGAAAGAAAAGAATTGATAATTCTCATATCTCTGAGTTTATGTTACAATCACAATGCATACTCTGAATGAGAAGATATTAGTAAGATACCTACTCAACTTCAGAGTGAATACTAACTTTATATTCTATTTCTTTTCTTTGATGAAGAATTGAAAGAAGATAGATCTGTCAGATCATGCAAAATTTACAGATGAAATGAAATGTCACTGTTTTAGCATAATTTAAGCAAAGTATGTAATTACAGACTTAGAAGAAATCTTTAAGAAGAGCAGTCTGCTTCTTCATACAGTTAACATTATAGATGAAAATGTCATTCTAGATCTTCTGTGATTGAGAGAAAACAATTCTCTCATTGACTGAGTCACTCAGATGTGACAGTATCATCTCACTGATAAAGAGATAGTGATAGAGAAATCTGAAGAGTTTCATCAGAAGAATCTTGAGAAAAAGATTGAGTTGATATACTGTATAGCAGGTGATTAAGACTTGAGAACAGATGAAGAAGTCATCACTCTCACTGCAAGATTAGCAGCAGTATCTGTTATTGAAGATGAATATATATAATATCTCTTTATAAATTTTAAGAATGTCTTTTTAAAAAGAAAAGCAGTGAAGTTTCCTGATATCAAGATATGATATAAGATTTGTCTTGAAGACAGTGTAATGATACTATATAAGCCTCTTTACAACTTGTCTGTAAAGAAGTTGAATGTTCTGTGTAAATATCTTGAAGAAGCATAATTAAAGAACTGAATACATTTATCAAAGAGTCTGACAGAGACATCTATACTCTTTATACTCAAGAAGAATGATAGGCTACATCTATGCATAGACTACAGAGGTCTCAATAAGATGATGATTAAGAATTGCTATTCATTACTGTTAATTAACAAGATGATTAATCAATTATCTGAAGTAAAGATGTTCTTAAAGATTGATATACAGAATATCTATCATAGAATCAGAGTTAATGAAGACAACATTTGAAAAACAGCTTTTCATATCAAGTACAGCAATTTTAAATATCTTGTTTTATCTTTTGATCTCTATAATACTTCAGTCATCTTTCAGATCTATATAAATGAGATGCTGTGAGGCCTTGTCAACATCTTCTGTATAGTATACTTGAATGACATTCTAATCTTCTCAAAAATAGAGGAAGAACATGATACTCATGTTCAAGAAGTGTTGAGTCACTTGAGACAGTATCAACTCTATACAAACATCAAAAAATACTCATTCTACATGCAGGAGATTGATTTCTTAGATTATATTATTGAAATGAATGACATTTCAATGAACAGAAGCTGAGACTTCATTATTGAGAACTAGTCAGTACTGCAGATGTACTGTGAGATGTAGATATTTCTAGAATTTATGAATTTCTACAGATGATTCATCTATACATATTTATAAATTACTACCCCTCTTACAGATCTGTTGAAGAGAAGTGTGAAAGACAGAAAAATAAAATCATTTACTCTCACTCAAGACACTGTGCAGATGTTTGCAGAATTAAAACAAGCTTTCACAGATGTCACAATACTAAATTATTTTAATCTCAACTTACTCAGTCAGTGTAAGACTGATATATCTGAGAATGAGATCTGTGAAATCTTTTCACAGTTGACACTGAAGATCTTTCAACATTGAAAGAATCAGAGAATAATCATCTCTGAGAAAACAGATAATGAATTGTCTGTGAGAGAAGACTTTTTCACAGAGTCTATAAGACACTGTGAATGAAGATCAGTGACTTTCTTCTTCAAGAAGTTATCACTCATACAGAGAAGATATGATACTTATGATCAGAAGATGTTAGTAATTGTTGAATTCTTTAAGATTTAGTAACATTATCTTCAGAGTAGTAAGTATTCAGTGTAAGTTCTCACTGATCATATAAATCTGCATTATTTCTTGACAACAAAGAGCTTGACAGAATGTTAAGCCAGGTGAGTGAAGCTGCTTTCAGAGTATAATTTCTATATCTGATATTATTCAGATCAGCTTAATTCTGCTGATACACTGTCTAGACAGTCTGATTATAATATCATTGATACAGAGAAGAATTCTATAAAAGAATCTCTATTATCACTGCAGAAGAAGCTGACTGCAGAGGGTTAAGATTCTCTAAAGCTCAGAAATGACACTGAAGAGGCAGCTGTGCAACTCAGTATAGAAGATGAAAGAGAACTCAGATCTTCACAGAAGACTGACACTGAAGATCATGAGCTTCTCATGTTATATCTTACAATCATTGAATTGATAAAGAATGAAACAGTCTACAATCTTTCAATCTGACTACTTTTAAAATTTATTAATAAATTATAGAAGAGAGATATCTCTACTGCAGCTTAAATTCAGAAGTTGAAGAAGAAAGAGTTTAGTTTGAACTTGAAAGAGACAGACTCTAAGTGAGACAGTGCTGCTAAGAAATCAAGTTACTGATAATTAAAAGAATATGAACTTCTACTACTGAATGATTCAGTCTTCATCTTTTATAGTAGAGCAGTGTATCAGAAGTTATTGAGAATTTATCATAATAATTTCTATACAGAACACTTCAGATTAGAGAAGACTAAGAAGCTTCTAAAATATAAATACACTTAAGACAAGCTTCAGATAGATGTTAAAGAGTATATTAAGACTTATAATATCTGTCAAAGAATAAAGATTCTACAGCATAAGTAATATAATAAGTTAATATCACTGTCTGTTTCAAAGAGCTTATAATAGAATCTATTAATGAATTTCATAGTTGATCTGTTGAAGTCAATAAAAGTCAAAGAATATAACTTAATTTTAATCATTGTTAATCACTTTATAAAGATAGTCAGATATATTTCTACTTATAAAAAGATTAAAGTCTCTGAATTGACTGACCTGTTTTTAGATATCATCATTTATAATCACAGTACTCTGAAATTGTTAATAACAGATTGAGAATCTCTTTTCATCAGCAAATACTGATCAGCTTTTTACTATTATCTTATAATAAAATGTCTTCTCAGTACTGTATTTCATTTGCAGATTAATAATCAGACTGAATATCAGAATCAGACATTAGAACAGCATCTTCAAGTATTCTATTTATATTATTAGAATGATTAACTCAAACATCTTCTAACTGCTGAATTTGTATATAATAATACAAAGAATGTAATCTTAAAGATATCTTCTTTCTATATTTATTATGAATATAATTCTTCATTACTCAGTGACATCACAGATGACATTTTAAAGAGAGAAATAGACAGTCAGAATGTTGAACAGATACAGAGAATGAAGTATCTCTCAGTGTCAGAAGTAAAAGCAAGATTGAAACTTTTAAATAAAATTTATAAGAAGATAGTAAAAAGCATTCACTGTGCTTAGAAGCAGTAAATAAAATACTATAATTGAAAACATCTTCTGATGAAGTTCTTAATAGAGAATTAAGTACTACTTTTAACAAAGAATATCAAGATAATAAGACTGTGTAAGAAGCTCAGTGAGTAGTGACTAGAATCTTTCTCAGTAATAAGAGTGATAAGTAAGCAGATATATGAGTTGAAATTATTCACAGAATTGAAATCAATTCATTCTGTTTTTCATATTTTCTATTTAAAGCTCTATAAGTAATGCTCTGAGATAGAGCTGTCTTAGCTAGATAATATCAAGATTGAGAGTAATACTGAATATTTTATGAAGAAAATATTGAATAAATAAATATATTACAGTAAGCTTCAATATCTTATTAAATAAGAAGATTATTCATTATCAGAGAATTTATAAGAACTGCTTAAATATTTGAAAAATGCTGAGAAAGAGATTACAATCTATAAGATAGTTAGTAGAGACTACTCTGTTACACATTAGAGATGTTAAGTAAGAAATACTACTTAAGACTTCTCATTTTTTCTAAAGAGTTTTTTTAGAGATGATCTCACAGTGATGAGTCAGTATTTTGTAGACTCTGTAGTACTCTTCTTCTATTTTCTCTCAAAGAATTTTTTAAAAGTTTAATAAGACTATATAAGTATAAAATTTCAAAGCAGTTAGAGAAAAGAGATATTTGAAATTAATAAAAAAATTAATATTAATTAATCTACAGACTGCTGCTAATCTAATGAGACTGCAGTCTGCTGAAAAAGTAAAAAGAAGAAACTTCAGAATCTACTCATTAATAATCACATTCTCATTAAACTTATTCTTCACTGTTAAAGTCTTCAGTATTAGTATCTTTATCTATTAAAAAGTTAGTACTACAGTACTGCAGAGAAGTATACTATAGAAGAGTATAAGAGATACTGAAAGTATTAACTTATTAACTTATAAAGTATCTCAGTTATCTGCTTCAATTGAAGTAAGATTCTCTTCAATCAGTGATTAATCTCTATAATACTTTCAATAACAGTATTAGCTGACTTCTTCTTAAGATTAGTTATTCTAAGGTGTTTTTTTATCTTGAAGATTCACACTTTCATCTTTTTTTACAGATGAGTAAGAAGAATCTTTTCAATCTTGATAAAATCTATCAATACTTAAAGCTCTGAGACTCTTACTCTGTACTGCTTAAGTATCTGAGCTTCTTATCAGAGCTGACACAATATCTTCTTATAGAGTAGATAATACTTACAGAGAGATAGAAGTTATTATTATAAGTATAACAGAAATAACAGAAGTGAGAGAAGAAATAGATACATAAAATTCTCTCTTTCTTCAGCTGCTTAGTGCAGTGTAGATAAGTAGTAGTATTAGTCAGAGACTGCACTGAAGCCTTCTTACAGAGAGAAGATGAAGAAATTATGAGACTCTGCAGACTCAACTCAGCAGCAGCTCAAGCAGGACTCAGATATGCTGTGAGAGAGAAACTATGAATTAAGCTTCTCAGAGTCACTGTCTCTGAAATCAAGCTCTTTCCAGGTTTCTCTCTGAATGATCACACAGAGTCATACATCACTGTATTGACTGAGAGGGGAGGCAGCGTCACAACAGTGGTGAGAGGGGCAGAGAATGAACTGGACACAGACAAACTGACTGGCAGAGGGAATGACACCCCACTGCAAGGCACGGCGACTACCGCCGCGGCTGCAAGAGAAGCAGGAGGAGGAGGTGTGGCAATGAGAGCAATGCTCCCGCGGCTCAGTGACACCGCTGCCTCCACCTTCAACCTGGCTTTCTTGGCGGCCATGAAGGCTGCAGCCGCATCACAAAGATGTTTGTTACTCACTAGAAAACATCAGAATAAGTCCCTTATTGTCTCTCAAGAATGATGCTCCCATGCACTCACTATTACAGATGAGAGAGAAGGAGAAAAATGTGTCACAGAGAAGAGATCTTTTTAAAAAAATCCTGTCACTACTGTTAGCTTTGTCTCTAAAATACATCACTTTTACAGAGAATTTCATATATAGAATGAAATATATTAAGAGATCTGCAAGTCACTTGTTAACTATGCTTTTCATATTTCAAATTGATATATAAGAAACTCACTTATCACATGTTTGATTTGAATGAAGATGAAAAAAGAAAGATCTATATAGTCAACAGAATAACTCATCTATTTCTTTATATTATACACAGTATATGCACTGTTAATCAGTTAACAATCATTGCTATATAACAAAGATAATTTCTAATTCAGTAATCTTGAGAGTATAGAGACTATACTCTTAAGAGAGAGAGTATTATCACACTCTCAGCTGTGTCAAGACTCTGTTGCAGTTTCACACAGTTCATTACTTTTATGTGAATAATTTCATTCATCTCACAGACTGTCTGAACCAGTTTTCAATCACTCTATAACATTATACAGATGTATCATAGAAAGATTTGATTAATAAATATGAGAATCTCACTTCTATACAAGATCAGCAGATTACTCTTTCTTGATAATGAGATGCTGCTGAGGTATCACTCTGGCTATTCTTACTCATGAAATGAGAGAAGAGTATCTGCTCATTATCTATATAGAATAGCTAGATACTGGCTTCTTATCAAAGAAGTCAGTGATTTATTTTACTTCTACTGAAATATATACAAGAGTTACTGTGTGTCTCATACAATCTTCTTAGTATACTAAGTATCATATCTGTGATATTCTTGCAATAACCCTGTAGTCTACAAGCTCGCTATTCAAGCAAGATAGTCAAGCTCACTTATACAGCTTCTCAAACAACTATCTCTATGTGTCATCGCTAACTAGTCACTGCTTCGGTTCCGCCACGTTACAACACTGCAGACTGTTCATCTCAGTAGAAACTCATCATCTTATAGACTAGAATTTGTAAATAACAGTGTTAATATCTTTATTATAATCAGATTCTTAGTAAAGACTGTGTCATTCTGACTTGTCAGAATTTACAGTATGAAAGTCATGTCTCAGCTTCTGCAGATATCTTATCTGTCTGAATAATTTTCAAGTAAACTCATTCATCTTGTCAGAATACTCTTGTCACTGAACCTTGAATCAGAGCTTACAATCTCACTTCTCTGAGTTAATAATCTCTTTGACCTGATATTCTCTTTCACTCTCTAGTACTTTGTAGACAGAGTGATGAGTCATAGAATTCTCTTCTGAGAATTTCTTGTATTCACAGAGTAAAGAGATATGAAAAACATTGTATATCTGTAACTCAGATAACAGTTTTAATCTGTAGAACTGTGAGTTAACTTTCTTCATAATCTTGTAAGACTCTGTCTGTAAGAGATTCAGCTTCTTACTAGATTTCTGCATGATAATATTTTCTAGACTCAGTCAGACTCTATTATCTTTCTTAAAACTCTTTATAATATACTTAAAGTCATAGTATCTCTTCTAATACTCTTAAGTCTTTCTCAAGAATTCACAGACTTTCTTCTAAATATTCTGAATTCTCTCAGTCTGTTCACAGATATTACTACACTCTATAGTATACTCTCATAAGTTTATCAAGATCATCTGTGAATAAGTCTCAGTGAGTATCTCAAAGAGAGTTTTATCTGTGCTGACATGCTTTGAGTTGTTGTATATAAACTCTATAAGTGATAATCAATACACTCAGTCATTCTGATTATAATTAACAAAGCACTGCAGATACTGTTTCAATATACTCATTAGACATTTTATCTGATCATCTGTCTATTGATAAAAAGTCATACTTAGATCTCATAAGATCTTCAGTATAGTTATCAGATCAGATCAGAACTCTTCTATAAAGATTAATTCTCTATCTGAGATAATATTCATAGATAACTCATGCAACTGAATCACATTGTAAATGAAGATATGAGTTAAATTCTTTAACTTCAAGTTCTTGTGAGTGAGTATAAAGTATGTCATCTTAATGAAGTGATTTACTATTATCAGCACACTGTTAAAGCAGGTATTATATATGTTCTTACTTTCTGAGAGACTTATAAGAGTATTCATTTCTAGCTGTTCTCAAGATTTCTACAGAATGAATAGAGAAGTAAGTTCTTCATATAATCTAAATCATACTACTCACAAACTCTGATAAACAGTATAAGAATTCACTATCTTCTTCATAAGTTCTTATATCTTCAGTCAGAAGTATTTTCTTACAAGTAACTCATGAGTTCTAGTGTCTGTAAAATGACTCACTAGAGAAGAGTTATAATGCCTTTTAATAAGTTCTACACATAGAAACTTATTCACAGGTATATAAATTCAACTCTCTCTTTATAAGAGATTATTTAAGTCTCTTCAATTCTTTATTTCTGCAGAATTGATTTCTGCTGTGAGCAGTTTCTGAATATACTGAGTATATTCATTCTTCAGTTATAGTTCAGACAATCTGAATAGAAGATCTTATAAAGACTTGTACTCTGTTTCTTCTTATATCAGATCTTCTGCAGTGCTTCTCAAAGTCTGTAAATTCTTCAGATTATAAGTATTCTCTTCAAGAATTCTTACAGAGATTTTCAGAGTGTTGACTCTCAGTGTTATAAAGAGTAGTTGTACAGGCTTCTTTTCTCTCTCTTCTTTCTTCTCTTATAAGAGATTGAAAGACTCTTCAGTCAATCTCTTTATAACACTCAGTCTGAGCATCTTATAAAGCTTTTCTGTCTTCTCTAGTCTCTCTGTATCTGTTACTTTGATCTTCTTAACATAGTCTGATCTGTGAGAGAGTTCATCTGCTGAGTTCTTAGTTTTCTTAATATATTCTATCTTGAACCAGAACTCACTCAGTCTCTGAACTCAGTGAATCTGTCATTATAAGAGTTTCTTAATTGAAGTAAACTGTTATAAGCTGTTATAATTAGTTCTAACAGTAATCACTGTTGCAAGGCTCTTAAAGTAGTGATACTAGTGATGAAAGAATTTCACTATTATAAGAAGCTTCTGATTATAAATGTTATAGTTGATCTCTGCAGATTGTATCTTTCATAAGAAAAAGACTACTGAAACTCAGTTCTCATTTGACTGTAGTTGTAAGACTATTTCTGAAATTATAAAGAAGAAAATATCTGTCTTCAATCTAATTAAAAGCAAGAGATCAAAGTGAAACAGTATCACTATGTCTATGAATATCTGTTTCAACCTTGTAAAGATCTCATAAGCTTCTAAGATAAGAAAGTTCTTACAGTTCTCTCTTCTTAACAATCTTTTCATTCTTTATTTATGAGATGACTTCTTCTTATTTTCATTCTTCAGTATGTCTGTAAGAGCTAAGAAGATTCTCATGAATACAAAGATAAATCATCTATAAAAATTCACAAAGCTCAGAAAGATCTGAATCTTATGAATACTAGTTAACTTCAGTTATAATAGAATAGTTTTAATTTATAAAGATTTCATCTGAATATCATCTGCAGTGATTATATATTCTAGAAAATTAATTCAGTGAGTACTGAAGTTGTACTTCACAAGCTTAATATACAGTTCTGTCTTATTTAAGACCTTTAATATACTTTATATATACTCAGTGTGTTCTTTCTTCTTCACAGAGTACATTATCACATTATTCAGATATATTATTATAAAGATATTCAGATATATATGAAGTGTTTTGATTGATAAAAGACTGAAATACTGCAGAGATATTAGTCAGATCAATAGACATTACTAGATATTTAAATAATCTCAGTGCAGTTTTAAAGACAGTCTTTCATTCATTCTTAGACTGTATTCACAGCTGTGTATATACATTGATTATATTCAGTTGTATGAATATGACAGCTTCTGTGAGACAGTTAATCACATTCTTGATCAGAGATAGAGAGTAGTAACTCTTTATTATCTTGAAGTTCAGATTATAGTAGTTTATACATAATCTGAGATCTTCATTCTTCTTTTTTATAAATATCACAGAGACTTCTGTGAAGGCCTGTGAAGATTAGATAAAGTTATTCTTCAGATTCTTCTTCACATAGATCTGTAAGACCTCTGTCTCATAATAAGAGAGCTTATAGATTGATTCTCAGAAGAATTTCTGCTCTTCTACTAAATCTATTATCAGATTCTTCTTACAGTGAGAGAGAAGCTCAGCTGTCTTTACTAAGCTGAATATCTCTGTAAGATCTCAGTATTTCTCTGATATCTGAAGCTCAGTTTTCATGACTGTGAGATTCTCAGATACTTATAAAGTTATTATATAGATGAGCTTATCTTCTCTAATTAACTCTACAGCATCAACTGATTCTATCTCTGTAAGTAAGTCTGTCAACACTGATTGAAAGTATAAACCTGACTTATGAACAGCTATGTGTGAATTATGTCTTTAAAGTTATACAAGTCTCAAGTACTTGTTATCTGTGATATCTATAATAATCACAGTTTCTGCAAATCTTCTTCAGATTTTAGAGAGATCTTGCAATTCAAAGATGACTCTTATAAGTCTCTCAGTTCTTAGATCTAAGTTCTTACACTCTGCTTATTATAAGAGCAGATTTTCAGTCTTCATCTTTCAGCTTATTTACTTCATAAGCTTTAGAGATATTATAGTGATCTGAGATTCTGAGTTCATCAATACTTCTCATGCTTGCAGAGCAGTAGTACTATGACATAGTCTCTTCTTATAAGTAAGCATTTTCATCAGAGAAGCAACAGATTCAGATATCAGCTTTAAAACTCTTAAGAAGACTGTTGCTGACTCTGTCTGCAACTTCTCAAATTTCTATTTTGATTTATTCAGACAGTTTGTACAGAGATATTCTGATTTAGAATAGATGAAGCAGAGTCTCTTTTTC